AAACCTGCTATATCAGGTCAAAAACTGATTAAATGGCCAATTTGATCATTTTTTTAAAGTACACGTACTTATATGATACTTTTTTAAGTATAGGGACTTAAGTGACGGATTGGAAATAGACAAATAGTAGAAGGGCTTATTTGACCCTTTTCCCTAAACAAATTAAGAAAGTCAAAATTTATATCTTTTGCGTGTTTTTGAATAATTTGTATATTCTACATTTTCCTAAAAACTAATTTGAAGGGCTTATTTTACACATTCACTTATTTTTTTTATTTTTTTGTTTTTAACTCATTCAATTTTTTATATCTATTTTGGCATTTGTATGTTATTATTTCTATGTTTTTCAAATTTATATGAATTTTATAGGATTTATCAATTGTTTTAATTTAATTTAAAATAACATGTTATAGTTGGTCGAATTGGTTGGACTGATTGTGTTTCACAGTTATTTTAGTATATGGCTCAAGTGACGGGTTTGAAACGGTAGAAGGGTCTATTTGAACCTTTTCCCTTACTTCTTTAGTCACTATGCCCGGTCAGATTAGGGATGAAGGGTTATTACAAAATGCTGGTCTGATCAACCTAAGGATGCTTTTACTTGGACTGTAATTTGCTGGTTTGGTCTGGGACAGATTACAGTCCAAGTAAAAACATCCTAAGTCTGGTATGCTCGGAGTCTGAAATATATCCAAGTGCATATGTCCTTAATTGAGTAGGTTTGTAATACTCAACGTTGAAGTGTTTGTATGATTGCATCATATATTCTCAGGGATTAAATCCTGATTAATAAACCAATATATAACATGAGCTACTCCTAATGCCTCATCAAAATATGATATGACATGAGAGACAGGTCCAGTGATGGATTGTGTGTTTGCTTTTTGTCCCACAAGCATGATTAAAGTTTTGTTGGTTGAAATGAATATTAATGACATTACTATCATTTCAGTTATATACGGAGTATTACTTAAATTTATTTATTTTACAATAAATTTTTATGCAATCCAACTCATTCATCTACTTCAAGTATTTCATCTACAGTATCAATAAATGCAACCAATTTTTGGCTCATCAAAGGTGCTTTGCATACAAATCTCAGACTGCTGCAGTTTATTTTTTGAAATTTTAGTTAATCTTTTTGTATACTTTTAGTTGCTTTTGTCAGTCTGGTCATGTTAAAGATCCAAAGAGATAAAGGTGCAGGAACATAGTAGTTTCTTTAGACTAATATTTTAAAGAAGAAATCATAATGCGACTGAAGTCCATATAGTATGTAGTTATTGATGTTTTTTGTGTTACTATTTGATGCTTCCAGAGCAGATGTTTGAAGCAAGAAGGAAACTGAGAAGGCATATAGCTGGAATAGACCAGGATGAATTGCTAGAACCAGCACTTCTGGCTGATCCTGACAGCTTTTTTTGTGAATTTAATGGAGTAGAGATACACCATAAGATTTGTGATGCAGAAGAATCAAACATGTCAGCAGAAGAGAGAAGAACGAAACTTCCTATCATTCTGTTACATGGTTTTGGAGCCTCTGTTTTTTCTTGGAACCGGGTCATGAAACCACTTGCTCGAATCAGCGGTACGAAAGTGCTTGCCTTTGATAGACCAGCGTTTGGTTTGACATCAAGACCTAGTCTTATTGTAAACTCATCTCCAGAAAGTGGTGATGATAGAGCTCTTAATCCTTACTCTATGGCGTTTTCTGTGCATGCAACGCTACACTTCATTGAGTTCTTGACAGTTGATAAAGCAATTCTTATGGGGTATATTCTTTTTTATTTCTTTCGTTTAACTTAATTTCCCATTCTTGCATGCCTTGTCCTTCAAGTAATATGAGCAGGTTGCTACAAGACATTAGAGAATGACATGCCATGGCTTTGCCTTTAGGTTCTTATTCCTCTCGCTACCCTTAGTCACACTTTTCAAGGGCTTTATTATAACAAATCTCACATCGATTAAATATAAGTGAATAAACCATATAAGATGTTTTGGACAATCCTCATGTCTTGAGGGTTTCACGATAGAGTTAAAACCAATCTTATTCTTTATTATTTTCGGTGTTGCAAGGCTTTTGAGGATGGGGAGTCTAAGTTTCCACATTTCATATGAGGATTCAATTCTAACTTTATAAGTGTCCAGCTGCTTAGATTTAAAATGGCAACTAGAGAGGTAGTCTTCCATATACAAACATTAATGGAGATATTTGTTCTTATGAAGTGTTGAGTAAGACTAACTAATCGATTGGATTCAATAAGTTATTCAACTCTGGGGTCAAATGCTATTTCCTTTCTCCAACAATGAGTTATCTACTCCCTCCATTATCCCATATTAGCCAATAATTTTGTCCCAAAATAATTGTCATTTCAGGAATATAATGCATATTTTGTACTCATCTCCCAAATTTACCCTTATTGACCTTTCCCATACTATAGACATTAGTATGCATTGAAAGGATATAAGAACCATTAAATGTTGAAATATGAGATGCACATAAATGTATTTTTGCAATACTCCTTGGTATGAGTACACATCCCTGTAAAACGTCAATCAAATTGAAACATAGAATATTAAATAATAAACGGTCAAGGAAAGATAAGTGTGTATTTTTTTTCTAAAGCCACATAGGGACATGAAATTGAATACATGAAGATTCGGTGACTTGTTTATGGAAAGAATAAATGCATGACCTTGTATTTGTATCTCTTGCATTCTGAAAGCTAAAACTGGTTTGATGCAAAATTAATGAGAAACCAGACACTCTGCGGGTTCCCTTGTAGCAGTTGAGGCATATTTCGAAGCACCCGAGCGTGTAGCTGCACTTATTCTTGTTGCCCCTGCCATTTTTGCACCATTTACCTCACCTAAACAGGGCCGAAATGGACGAAAAAGTCATACAGAAAACGGGAACTCAGATTCATCACGCAATAAAAAGAATGTGTTTGGGAAGATTTTCACCATTTTGTCAAAGTTTACCAAATATGTTGCACAAGCAATATCAGGCATTGTCAAAGGAACGGGGAAAATAATGAATTCTCTATATAGGAAAGCTTTAGCAGCTCTCCTACGCTCTGCTGTTGGCCTATTGCTGGTAATGAAATATGTTCTATATATGTTTGATTCGAATTATTTACTTGCAATGTTCCACAATATTTTACTTTTATTTCATACTTTTATCAAAATTCGCAAGCAGGCATTAGTTTCATTCACTTCTTGTTCCAGCTAAAAAAAATTGTATAGGGATTTGCATTATTGATTGATAACTTGAAAAGTCCTTCAGACCTGGATTAAATTAGTATATATCAACACCATGAGTGATGTGAAAAAGTTTATCAGATTGTTGTGTCTAATTAATTGGCTAAATATGCATTTGCTTCAAACCCAATGTTCTTTTTTAGGTAAGAATGATAATTGATAAGTTTGGAGTAGCGGCTGTTCGGAATTCCTGGTATGACCCAAAGCAAGTGACTGACCATATCTTACAAGGCTACACAAAGGTGAGTCTTTACTTTTTTTTTTAAGGTGAGTCTTTACTAAAACAGTATATATTCTTATTATTATTTTTTGGGAAATTCAAGGAAACAAACTACGGAGTATATAGTTGTACATATACTGCTTTTAATAGGACCGCTTTTATATGGAAAATCATTTTTTCTTTGAATCCACTTTTGACGTAAGCACCTCCAAACAAGCCCTATGCCTTTTAAGTTATATGGTATGTGCAAAAACGGTATGCATATATAGTCATCTTAATCTGTCATACTATCAAATTTGCAGCCTCTGAGAGTGAAAGGATGGGATGTGGCTCTTGTTGAACACACATTGGCAATGTTTACCGATTCAAAGTTGGTATCAAAGCCACCACTTTCAGAAAGATTGAGTGAAATCTCATGTCCAGGTTATTAATCATTTTACTCTTTTCTTTGAATGAGTTGGCATGAAAGTAGTGACTTAAATTAGCTGGATTGAAAGACTTTGGGATAAAAGTGATTATGATTCACAAATTATTTAGATGGCCAATTAATAGGAGCAAGAACCCTTTGTCATCACCCTGAGATTGGAACGGTATAGTAAAAAGCAAAATGTGACGATGAGTTTAGACGTTTAGTGAAGATAATTATTTGAGTTTAGTAATTAGAATCAAATATTTTTAATGAAGATAATTATTTAAAAATGATCACTCATTTGATATTTATGTTGCTTAAAGTGTTGATCATCACGGGAGACAGAGACCGACTAGTCCCTGCTTGGAACTGTGAAAGACTGTCCCGAGCTATTCCGGGAGCTTGCTATGAAATAATCAAGAATTCTGGTCACTTGCCTCATGAAGAGAAAGTGGAAGAGTTTATATCTATTGTGGACAGATTTTTGCATAGGGTGCTTGGTGGGGTGGAGCAACCACACATACAAGCAGTTACCTAAAATCACTAAGAACCACAACCAAGTCTTAGCTCTTGTTTGGTTTGGATGGGTGGAAGGAATGAAGCTGGTAAGCTGGAGGAGTGTTGTCTGTTTGGCTAATTGGGGGAGTTGGGGGGTTATAGGGGCAGGTGAGGGGAGGGGATGAGCTACAGATTCCTTGTAACTCATATCTCACTCCATTCATTTGAGATACTTTGGAAGAGTTGTACTTCCTGAATTTCTTTTTCAATTTTTTCCAAAATTGTTATGCATTGTTATTGCGTTTTATTGTATCAAACCCTTTAAATTATGCAAATTAATACAAATTATGCACATTAATACCTTTTTCTTTAAGAAATGTGTCAAACCCCTCATATTGTAATTAATCATGCACACAACACCGTAAAACAACAAATATAGCAAGTTGTAGTCACATGATGTTCATAAGTTCAATTTCACAAATATTTAGGAAGGCCTCTTATCTTTTATGTTAAAAATATCAGTGGATGAATTAAATTATGTTACGTTATATGTTAATTCACTCGGTTATGCTGAATGTGTGTACACTTCTTTTCATAAAATATCTAATTAATTCTGAATCTATATACAGTAGTTTGAATAGATGGTCACAACAATATCATACTATTAGAAACTCACGGGAGACCACAGGAATTTGGTGACTAGCAAAATCAGCATTTAGATTGCTTGATATTTGAAAATAAATAACGGAAACCAAGAAATCAAAATCAGTAGTACTAAAAGCATGTCTTAATCGTATTCAGCATTTCAGCCAAGAAGTTGTAGCCAATAGAGTGCTTGGACAGAACATGAAACATGCAGAAAAAACATCCTAATTAGATTGTGGTACTTTGTTAAAGAACATCTTGGCAAACTCGACGAACTTGTCTGCAGGAGGTAAGACATCTTTAACAGCATCATTAACAACAAAGTTGTCAACCCAATGGGACAAATTGGGAAACTTGGTTTCATCAAACAGTTTAACATCGTTAAACTCCTCGATCACCTTGAACCAACCTATGAGGCTTCCCAATCCTATCTCCGCGAAAGAACTTCTTGCCTTTGCTGCAGCTCTTGAAGACATCCTCCAACAGAGCTAACGCTTCAACAAGGTTGTATATGGCCTCTTTCTCGACTCCTTTGTTCCCCGCGAGTGATATACTTCGTGAACTGGGAAATATCTAAACTATAGTAATTAGATAACACATTTCACATCAATCAAATATGTTAAACTACTTTTTCTATTCTAACGTATATATTGTCGAAACGTAAACACGTACCTTATCGTCAATGTAAACGGACCAAAACTTGGTAACAGCTCGATCGTAAGGATCACAAGGGAAGACGGTGGATTCAGAGGCAGCCCAAACATCATCGATATACTGAGCAATGATTATAGATTCACAGATAGGTTTGTCATCATGAACCAAGACGGGTATTTTCTTGTAAACGGGGTTTAACTCTAGGAGAAGCTCACTCTTAGACATGAATGTCTCCTCAATAAAATCATAGTCTACTGACTTAAGGTTAAGAGCCACTCTAACACGAATTACAAAAGGGCTCCACCATACCCCTAACAGCTTAACGTTGTTGGATGCCATTACCAAGATCTATCTAAAACAAAGATTTAAAACTGAAAAGAGATAAAGAATAAAAACTGAGTTTATAAAAGTCAAGTTTTTGTGTCCACTTATATATGCACAAAGTTATGAGATCAAACCCATGACACTGAAAAACGTTACTACTTACACATCCGGTTTTGGTCAACATTGGTGTGCCAACTACGTAGTATATTACTACGTATTTATTATTTATTGATTGACTATAATTGACAATTTGACATAGAAGTAAGGGAAAATTATACTTCCACCGTCCCCCAATTAAGTTTTGTGTTTAACTTCACAGGTTTTAAGAAAATAAATTTGACTTTACTGTGGAGTGCATTGTTTGGCACTGTTTGACATTGTTTAAACACTGTTTGACACTGTTTTGCACTGTTTGACACTGTTTTAATGTAGATTATTTGCCAAATAAGGAAAGTATTTAAGTGTGAACTTAATTTAGGGACTGCCCAAAAAGGAAAGTGAGAACTTAATTGAGGGACGGAGCCACGGAGGGAGTAATCTAGAATTGAAAGAGATGCATGCTTGTCTTTGTGTGGATCAGTGATCCAAATTGGTGGGGCCTAGCGGAAAACTAAAAAATTTAAGCAGTGTTATACAATGGAAAAAGGTAACCAAGTATTTGGAAGAGAAATGAGGATTTATTAATTTATTTCTTACTGTGGTGTCATACAAATGAAAGAAAAATCTTCATCAATAGGTAAATGTTTAATCTCTACTGGAATAAGTTCTCAATTTGAGTCACGGAAACAGTATTAAAGATACTCGTATTGTAATTAGATTTATAAAATGTAATTAGACTTCGTGATTATTTTCACAAAGTGGTACTGTGGACAATGGTTTACTTTATTCTATTTAAATAGAAGATGTAATGCCCCTTTACTTCACAAAACTCATCATAAATATTTTTCTTCATTTATTGTCGATTAATTGAAGCTAGTTTTGAAAACCTTTTATTTGAAAGGTTGAAAACCTTATTATAAAAACCCATATTAGGATAAAAGAACAATAAAGGGTAAAATGGTATACTTTCTTAATCAAACTTATTATTACCTCCATCGCTAATATCTATGTGAAGTTTGACCGCCACGTAGAATAATAAAGTAAAAAAATGTACTTACATTTGTGGAGTGAAGATAAGTAATAAAATCACAAATTAGACTCCCGCTATTCCGAAATAATTGTGTTTTTTTTCATTTTTGTGATATTCCAAAATCATCATCATTTCATCATCGTTTACCCCAGTGCCGCAAAGGCTCCCACTTACGGTGGGGTAAGGGGGAGTCGGATGTATGCAGTCTTACCCCTGTACCAAAGCACAAAGAAACTGTTTCCGGATGACCCATGATGAAAATCGCGTCCAAAAGAGACTGTGTCCGAATGACCCCTATTTCAAAAGATTTACTTTTTTTCTTTTCCCACAGTTCAACTGCTATCTTTTGCTCTCTTTTCATGTGTAGATTACTCGCTCGTTTTTACTGAAAGCTTTGTTTGATTACATAAAACTGTGTTATATCATAATTCATATTCTCAATTGATTAATGATATTTAATCATTTATTCTGAAGAGAACACTAAGGGTACGTTTGGTACAACTAGCTGAAAAAATACTTTTATGAGCTTATTAATAACTGTTAGCTTTTAGCGACTGAAAAGATCTTAAAAAGAAAAAGTGGTAGCTGTTTGATAAAAAGCTGTCTGTTTGATTTAATTCGGCTTGGTGTACAAGCTGTTAGGATTAATTAATACTAAAAGTCACGGGCTTTTTTCAAATGCTACTTCATGTAGCATCTCAAAAAAAATCTTTTAATTTTTGAAAAGTTCTTAAAAATTGTCATGCGTAACATAAAACTAGAAGACAAAGACTAAATCCATTTTCTTTGTTAGTTTTATAGATTGCAGTTTTAACTATCACATGCATTCGAGCTGCAATGAAACTCGTAGGAGTCGTAGGAGTACAACAGGAAAGGAAATGAACGCTCTTGAACATGAGAGTTAGAGCCACTCTGTCTAGGCTGGCTGTTTGACCTGCAACAATAGATGCTAGAAAGCAGAAGGGACAGTCATGGCTTTCCCCCCCCCCCCCCCCCCCCCCTTTTTTATTTTTACCAGTTTAGTAAGTGAGAGCTCATTGGGGAAGAATAGACATGAATTTCAGAATATTTTAGCATTATGCATATATCAAATAAATATGAGATGAGCGTTAATAGTTGGACTTGTTCATGTGATTTTTTCCCATTTTGTTTTACCATGCACCTATGAGCTATTTTTAATGTTCCCAATCATCACGTCTCTGGCCACATTATTCAATTCTCTGGCAGCACGCCTTGGTTTGCTGATGGAGGCATGTCTTGAAGATTCACATAGGCAGATTTCTGAAAGTGGGTTGTGCACACCAAGAGGGGTAAATTAGGTACACTGAGATGTCCTTTTTGCATTTGAGAAACATTGCAAATTTGCAATGGAAAATGAATATAAATTCAATACCAATGCATTGAAAAGGAAAAAAAATTAAGCCAGAGGAAGTAGTTTATATGAGTTCTGACTTCTGAGATATCAATGGAGGAATTAACAACGGCTTTCTGCCTGTGTTTTTTTAGCCAGCTGATCGATCTGATCGATCTCCATGTAAACAACAATTAGTAGACACTGTGTACATCATTGTAGTTGATCCTAATATGTCATCTTCGAATCCACATGCTCTAAAGAATGGCCTGATGGGGAAACATATGAGCCAAAATTAGTTCAACTTTGCAGTTTGTACAGTTAAGCTAACAATGAAAAGAAGAGCACAAATCATCCTCCAAGACAGCAACAACATTTTGATGTTCATACAAGCGGAGTATTATATTTTATGCTAGATGACATATTTCTGGTTTTTCGCATCTTCAGAGCAAATATGCAAGAGGTCCTAAGATCACATTCTAAATGTCAATCTCATAAAGGTTCATTATTGAAACAAACAAAATACATAAATAAATAAGAAGGTTTTGCTATACTACACCGAGTATTTCTAAAATGGAGCTCATGAAAAAAAAAAGTCTACACGTCACCGTGAAAATACAACCATTGTCAATGCAGTGTAAAATTGAACACTATGTTGCACGGAAACGCGAAAATCATGAGGAAACGGGAAACGGGAAAGTTGAACTTAATAAGACTAGTGAACTTACATAGAATTCCACATATAATAAATTGGAAATGGGAAAATTGGAAATTGGAAACTCTCCAAACGGGATATAATGACCTCCAAAACAATGCACAAACATAGAATTCCACATATAATAAGACTAGTGAACTTACATCTCTGCATTGGAGCAGAGAGCTGCTATATCATATATGCCTTTACGTGTAAGCATCCTGCAATTAGAAAAAAAAAACGTCATAACTCAATTGTAAATAAGCAGTCAGTTGTAATTAATCCAAACAAACACGAAACGGATCACCAAAAGCTGGATTGATCTCCAAAGTAATTGGGTACTAGAATTCAGCCCGCAATTAATATGTCGAGTATCTAATTAGAGAACAGAAACCTAATTATCATCTGAACTATCCTCTTGCCAATGCCCCTCCGTCTTAATGATGGAATGACCTACAAATCACACAAATAGCCACAACTGTGCAGTCCAGCAGATCAAAAATAAATAATCATAATCTATACAGTTGGGAGAATTGGAGATACTGCAGATGTATTAAATCTTAAGTTGGCATAATACAGCATTTCCTTCTAACAGAGTATTAAAGAGCTCAATTCCAAGCCAAATGTTGTACACTCCATTTTAATATAGTTAAATTGCTGAAGAAAAAAGGTTGAGCAAAGTAAATGCGGAGTATCAATATCGGTAGTGGAAAAGGTAATGATCAGAGTATCATACCATAACATCGTAGATGGAAGCAGTGAGCGCAGAATCGGAGACTGCACGGCCCAACCCAACCAGTTTGCCGTTGGACGGCGTCACGGGCGACAGTATCCGAACCAAATCTCCTCCAATACCAGACAAATGGGAGAATATTTCGGGCTGGGAAAATACCGCGACGAAGACGGAACTATGGAGGAGAGCTTTACGGAGTTTGTTGAGGTCGACTGGATCGACTCGGCCATCGGGGTCGAGGTTGGGGAAGCGGCGGTAGCAAGAGTGATTGCAAGCAGAGTAAAGGTCGCGGACGCAGCGGATGTCAACGTCGTTTACTTTTGTTGTTATTGATAATGGCGGCGGCTTGTTTCGGATTCCAGAGATGATTCGCCGCGATAATGGGAATTCGGAGGGGAGATAACCGCCGTGCACGGCCAGCAACATCAGTAGTTGTTTCCCGCAAACATTGATAAGATGTAAATCGCGGCTGGCATTTTGTTTATTGGGAGAACAATTTTGTAATTAGTTTCAATTTTGCAATTGTTATAATTTTATTCATTTTTTGTTTAAGTTTTTCAAAAAATATATCTAACATCTTTAATTTTTTATGTTTTTTTTACTCCTTCTGTCCCGTTAGAAGGTTATCACTTTCCTTTTTTGGACGTCCCATATAAAGGTTTTCATTTACATTTTAGAAAACAATTAATCATCTTAAGTGACAAATTAATCATTAAATAATACATTTATAACATCACAGTTATGAATACTAACTACATTATAATATATACCTATTAAAGTTATTTCTCAAAATATACTCAAAGTACTTTATTTAATTATTGTCTAAATAACTGTGTTGTTTTCCTATGGAAACTTTTCAACGGTACAGAGGTAGTATGATCTTTCATATTTCAGATGATCTTTCAATATTGTGTATTTTATAGCATTTGAATTATTTTACTCCGGGATTATATAAGGGAGGGGTGGTGTATGCCCTGCTTAGGTAATGTTCCCTATAGCCTAGTTAACTTAGGTACTGTAAGGCGGGTTGAAAATTTTATTAGAAAGTTTAATTTATAAAATATGATGATAATCAGAATAGTAAAAAGTGGTAGTTTGTGGGGTAAATCCCACAAACTACCTTTTCAGGATGTTATTCATTCTCTTACTGCTCCGTTAGAGCTTATTCACTCAGATGTTTGGCAGTCGCCTATTTTATCTAATCTTGGTTTTAAATATTATGTTTCTTTTATTGATAATTTTTCTCGTTATACGTGGGTTTATCCTATGCGTCGTAAATCAGAAGTTTTTCACTATTTTTATAATTTTCAAAATCTTGTTGAAAATCTATTGAATACGAGAATTAAATCTTTTCAAAGTGATGGTGGAGGTGAGTTTGACAATATTATTTTTCAAAATCATTTTTTAAAGACCGGGATTTTATTTAGAAAGTCATGTCCTAATACTCCTGCTCAGAATGGTGTGGCGGAACGCAAACATCGTCATTTACTTGAATTAACTATGATCATGTTGATTAAATCTTCTCTCCCGCCTACGTTTTGGGTTGATGCTCTTTATACAGCTACTCATATTGTTAATCGCCTCCCTACTCTACTTTTGAAAAAATTAACTCTGATCCTTTCGAGAAGATTTTTAATAAAGCTCCAGATTTTAACTTTCTACGTGTCTTTGGGTGTGCTTGTTTTCCAAATTTTGTTGCCAAGTCTTCAAATAAACTCTCATCGCGCTCCATTTGTTGTGTTTTTATCGGGTATGCCCCGGGATATAAGGGCTACCGTTGTTCAGATCCTTTAACAGGTAGAGTCTACATTAGCAGGGATGTTCAGTTTTACGAACATAACTTCCCTTATTCTCACCTTGTTTCCCGACCTTCTAACCAGCCCATGAACTTCCCCTTACCGGCTTCCTAGTCACTCACCCGCTCACGGCCTGCATCCCTGGTGTTGCCACCGGTACCTCCAAGCAGTATGCTCCCTTCCACTACATCTGACCCCACCATCCCAGTACTGAATACTCCACCTTTCAGTCCTGTATCCCAAAACCAGAATCATACCTCTCCACCGACCCACACTCCACCTGCCACACCACTTTTCCCTAACCCACCAGCCTCTCCGACCTCACTTTCCCAGACATCCAGCGACTGTTCTGCTGCGGGCAGTCCCAGACCACCTCGGTGGACAGTCCGCCTATATCTACCAGCCCGTCACCTATCCCCCCTCCAGTGGCTAATGCTCATCCTATGCAGACTTGCTCTAAGGATGACATTTTTAAACCTAAAACAATTTTTAATTTAAGTGTTTTTGCACCCCCGAATGATCCAACTTGTTTTTCTCAGGCACAAAAATTACCTGTTTGGCGGGATGCTATGGCTGATGAGTTTAATGCGTTGCTTGCTAATAAGACTTGGGAACTAATACCTTATGACAGCACTAAAATTTAGTTGGTTGTAAGTGGGTTTACAAGACTAAATATAATTCTGATGGTTCAGTTGAGCGCCACAAAACGCGTTTGATTGCTCAAGGGTTTAAGCAACAGGCAGATATAGATTTCACTGAAACTTTTAGTCCAGTTGTTAAACCTACCACTGTCCGTCTTGTTTTATCTGTTGCTGTTTCTCGGTTGGTGCATTCGCCAACTCGGTGTTAAAAATGCATTTCCCCATGGCTATCTTACTGAGGAAGTTTACATGCGTCAACCCCCAGGTTTTATCCATCCTTCTTTTCCTAATCATGTATGTCGAGCCTGGTTTCACAGATTCAGTGGATTTCTTCTCACACATGGCTTTTTGCAGAGTAAGTCTGATTCCTCTATGTTTGTGTTTCGGCGTGGTCCTCAAGTCGTTTACATTCTTCTCTATGTAGATGACATTCTGATTACTGGCTCTTCTCTATCTTTTGTTCGACACATTATTAATTCATTATCTACTCAGTTTGCCATGAAAGACTTGGGGGATATACATTTTTTTCTGGGTCTTCAGACTCGTCGTACAAATCAGGGCCTATTTATTTCTCAACAAGAATATATTTCTGATTTGTTACGACGTTCACACTGTCAAAATTGTTCGTACCCCTTTACCGTCTCGTACTACTCTTTCTCTTACAGATGGTGAACTTCTCACTGATCCTACTGAGTATCATAGTATGGTAGATGCATTACAGTATTTGATTTTGACTAGACCTGATATTACTTATGTTGTGCATTTGGTTTCTCAGTGTATGGTGAACTTCTCACTGATCCTAGTTTATGCATGCTCCTCGTACTACTCACTTTTTAGCTGTGAAGTGCATTTATAGATATTTGTAGGGCACACTAAATAATGGATTATGGCTACAGTCCAATCCTGATATTTCACTTAGTATTGCTTATTCTGACGCGGATTGGGCTGGTTGCCCGGATAGTAGCCGCTCTACCACTGGATATGCCGTCTTTTTGGGTAGTAATTTAATTTCTTGGTGGTCCAAGAAACAGCCTATGGTGTCCAAATCTTCTACTGAGGCCGAGTACCGAGCCATAAATTACACTGTCCAGGATACTCTCTTTTCATTCGCTCCTTGTTAGCATGTATGGGCATCACTATCTCGGCTCCTGTGCAGCTCCGATGTGATAACGTTTCAGCCTCCTATCTTGCTGTCAATCCTATACAACATGATCGCAGTAAGCATATCAAGATCGACTACCATTTTGTTAGAGAACGAGTGCCTCACGGAGATCTTGTGGTTAAATATGTCCCTACACAGTTGCAGTTGGCAGACATTTTTACAAAGAGTTTATCTAGTCAGCGTTTTGAATTTTTACATGCCAATCTGCGCATTATTTCCCCTATACAGATTGAGGAGGTGTAATAATGTATAGTAGAGGACACTTTTGTAATCTTCCTATTATAGTATTATTGGTTTATTAAAAATATACGTGAGGCACCCTAAGAGGGTAAGCCATTATTTCCCAATTATTTTCATACTTTGAAGATGATTAATTCTGAGTCTAGTTCGCGGGAAGGCGGTTGTCAGGAATCTTTTTGTCGAATTACCTACTATCTGAATGATGTGTTATCAATTTAATCCTATTTCTTCAAAAAAAAAACTATAAAACTAGAATCTTTAGTGTTGTTTAATACGAGTATAACTAAATCTCACAAGCTACTCTCATTTCTTCCCGGATTCTTGGGCCAGTGGGATTCTTCTAAGGGCATTGCTTCGTAATAAATTTAATATTAAAGTTGTATTAATAAATCCCGAATTAATTGAACTAGTCATTTTTCTTTAATTAAATGATCTATAATCTTTAACCAACATGAACAATATAATCTTCACATATTTATTAGTATAGATTTTTATTGAACACATAGTGTAGATTATCAATATAATCATATCTTCCTCACCAATCCAGATCACCGGAGTCACTCACCTTGCCTAAACTCCCTTCTTTCTGTCATCTGCAATCTTACGGGAAACACGACTGGGTGCTAGGATACTCGATAGATCTTTCCGGAATTACTTTAGTAGAATATAATATCTTTTTTTTTTGAGCAAAGAATATAATATCTATACACTCTTTATGTTTAATATTAATCTATGACTAATAAATATATAGAGATTATATGTATGCTAGCTAAAGATTATAGAAAAGAGAGGCTTAGAGAGACATGGAAAGAACTTCAAACTTTATTGAATTCTTGCGTAGAGAGCTTATGAATTTTTTTTAATAATCATCCTCATGGTTACAATGGGCTCCTTATATAGGAGTTTTCTAGGGTAGTACAATTATTACAAGATAGAAATAAAACAATACATGAATAGTAAATACACCATTATTTGTTGCACCGATATTGTAAAGTAATGAATAGTGATCTCCAAAATACTTTGCCAAATATCTCGTGACATGTTGTATTGGGACTCCCACTTGGTTTATATTGATGATATGTGTCCTTTTGGTGGCTCACATGCTCCATTTTTTGGTTCCATCTTCCCATTTTTACTCCATGATAGATAACAAGTGTCTTCTTTTCTTCCACATAATATCTCCATTATTTTTAGGTGACTCCATCTTTCTGCATCTCGTCCGGATAATATCTCTAACATGGATTTTGATATGTCTTCTTTTCCCGTAGGAATTTTGAAGTGTATCATTGGTAATATGGATTTTGTAATATGGGCTTACTGTAGTGTGAGCTACATTGGGCCAGTTAATATGACTATTTTGGGCTTAACCCATATTTTGTAATATAGGTACTCATTTACATCCTGTTGTATGATAATATATCTCAAGTTTTACATGGTGCCTTTTATAGGAACGGATCAGGACATCCTTCCTTTTTATTATGGGTTTATCAGTGGTAGTATTTCTAAGAGTAATTATGAGCCTCTTCTTTTGTCCATTGAGGTTGGCATATTGTTCCAATGTTTCTTTAGCATGTTTATGTTTTAGATCCATTATTCTGTTATGCATCTCTGTGAGTATCATGGTGTCTTGGGTTAAAACATCATTATTATAATATATTGTTATTATTTCTACAACTTCACCACCTTGACTACTTCCAATGACACAAGCTTTTCTTGCTCGTATCATTTCTTCCAATTTTGATTTTAGTGTTATTAATCTAATAGCTCTTTTGGTACTTATCCATTCTTGAAACTTATCAGTTTTACATGGTATTGACATATTAAGACTAGTATTATCTCCTTCTATGTTAGTATTTTTTCCTGTTTTGAATAATTGAAAAAATATTATAGGTTCGCCTACTAAATCTGTTGAGGCATCAAATATTTGGATTCCATATATACCTTTTCCAAAGGATTCCATCATTGATTCAACTGATCTTAAAATTGTTGATGGTAATTTACTGATACAGTATAGACTTTCATCTACAATTATTTTATCAATAAATCCATATGTAAATACTTTATGAACAACTTCAGGCTTAGCATTTTCTCTACATAAAAATCTTGGATATTTACTTGTTTTATTAATTCTTAATATTGTTTCATTTGTTTTATAATCATAAAATTTATTAATTTTTTCATAGGCTGTGATATATTCTTTAAGGTATTTCATAGTATCTGACATGGTAATAGAGGTTTGTTTTTGTGGTTGAGAGGTTTGGATAGGTAATTTTGGTGATATAGATGGTGGTAATGTGGCTTTGATGAGAAGGTTTCAGAGGGTTTTGGTTGTAAGGCTTTTACAGTTTTATAATCTTTTAGGGCTTCAATAAGGCTTTTAATTAGTTCAGTACACTCTTGTAATCCTTTTATTAATATAATATGTTTTTCCTTAATCTCTTTTAAAGCTTTTTCCATTTATTCTTCAAAGTAATTATCTGATGTCATGGCGATACTTGCTCAAAAAATCAGTTAAAACATTCTTAGTTCCAGATATAGTTTTAATAATAAAATCATAACAACAAAAGAATGATTGCCATTTTCTCCTCTTATTAAATTCTGGTAAAGGTTCTATTTTATTTGTAATAAAAGATTTTAAATGAGTATTATGAGTTCTTACTACAAATTTTACTGGTAAGAATTGATAATGAAACTTTTTTATTCCTAATTTCGCAGACAATAATTGTTTTTTATTGATATAATAATTTTGCTCATTTGGTTTTCATGTTCCTGCTCCATATCCACATACTAATTGATAACCATTAGTATGTGGATATGGAGCAGGAACATGGAAACCAAATGATCAAAATTATCATATCAATGAAACAGAATTATTGTCTGTGAAATTAGGAATAAAAAAGTTTCATTATCATTTGTTACCAGTAAAATTTGTAGTAAGAACTCATAATACTCATGTAAAATCTTTTATAACAAATAAAATAGAACCTTTATCAGAATTTAGTAAGAGGAAAAAATGGCAATCATTCTTTTGTTGTTATGAATTTATTATTAAAACTATATCTGGAACTAAGAATGTTTTAGCTGATTTTTTGAACAGGTATCACCATGACATCGGATAATAACTTTGAAGAATATATGGAAAAGGCTTTAAAAGAGATTAAGGAAAAATATATTATATTAATAAAAGGATTACAAGAATGTACTGAACTAATTAACAGTCTTATTGAAGCCCTAAAAGATTATAAAACTGTAAAAGCCTTAGAATCAAAACCCTCTGAAACCTTTTCATCAAAGCTTGCCACATTACCACCATCTATATCACCAAAATTACCTATCCAAACCTCTCAACCACAAAAACAAACCTCTATTACCATGTCACATACTATGAAATACCCTAAAGAATATATCACATCCTATGAAAAAAATTAATAAATTTTATGATTATAAAACAAATGAAACAATATTAAGAAGTAATAAAACAAGTAAATATCCAAGATTTTTATGTAAAGAAAATGCTAACCCTGAAGTTATTCATAAAGTATTTACATATGGATTTATTGATAAAATAATTGTAGATGAAAGTCTATACTGTATCAGTAAATCACCATCAACAATTTTAAAATCAGTTGAATCAATGATGGAATCATTTGGAAAAGGTATATATGGAATCCAAATATTTGATGCCTCAACAGATTTAGTACGCAAACCTATAATAATTTGTCAATTATTCAAAACAGGAAAAAATACTAACATAGAAGGAAATAACACTAGTCTTAATATGTCAATACCATGTAAAATTGCTAAGTTTCAAGAATAAATAAGTACCAAAAGAGCTATTAGATTAATAACACTAAAATCAAAATTGGAAGAAATGATACGAGCAAGAAAAGCTTATGTCATTGGAAGTAGTCAAGGTGGTGAAGTTGAAGAAATAATAACAATATATTATAATAATGATGTTTTAACCCAAGACACCACGATACTCACAGAGATGCATAACAGAATAATGGATCTAAAACATAAACATGCTAAAGAAACATTGGAACAATATGCCAACCTAAATGGACAAAAGAAGAGGCCCATAATTACTCTTAGATATACTACCACTGATAAACCCATAATAAAAAAGGAAGGATGTCCTGATCCGTTCCTATAAAAGGCCTCATGTAAAACTTGAGATATATTATCATACAACAGGTCTAATGTAAATCAGTACCTATATTACAAAATATGGGTTAAACCCAAAACAGTCATATTAACTGGCCCAATGTAGCTCACACCACAATAAGCCCATATTACAAAATCTATATTACCAATGATACACTTCAAAATTTCTACGGGAAAAGAAGACATATCAAAATGCATGTCAGAGATATATCCGGACGAGATGCAGAAAGATGGAGCCACCTAAAAACAATGGAGATATTATGTGGAAGAAAAGAAGACACTTGTTATCTATCATGGAGTAAAAATGGGAAGATGGAACCAAAAAATGGAGCATGTGAGCCACCAAAAGGACACATATCATCAATACAAACCAAGTGGGAGTCCCAAAACAACATGTCACGAGATATTTGGCAAAGTATTGTGGAGATCACTATTCATTACTTTACAATATCGGTGCAACAAATAATGGTGTATTACTATTCATGTATTATTTTATTTCTATCATGTAATAATTGTACTACCCTAGAAAACTCCTATATAAGGAGCCCATTGTAACCATGAGGATGATTATTAAAAAAAATTCATAAGCTCTCTACGCAAGAATTCAATAAAGTTTGAAGTTATTTCCATGTCTCTCTAAGCCTCTCTTTTCTATAATCTTTGGCTAGCATACATATAATCTCTATATATTTATTAGTCATAGATTAATATTAAACATAAAGAGTGTATAGATATTATATTCTACTAAAGTAATTCCGGAAAGATCTGTCGAGTATCCTAGCACCCAGCCGTGTTTCCCGTAAGATTGCAGATGACAGAAAGAAGAGAGTTTAGGCAAGGTGAGTGACTCCGGTGATCTGAATTGCTGAGGAAGGTATGATTTCTCTAAACTATGTGTTTAATATAAATCTATACAAATAAATATGAGAAGATTATATTGTTCATGTTGGTTCAAGATTATAGATCATTTAATTAAAGAAAAATGACTAGTTCAATTAATTCGGGATTTATTAATACAACTTTAATATTAAATTTATTATAGACCTTCCGTTCAATAATAAGAATTGATCTAAATAAAATCCTTTAGGGTTCTAGAACCGATCCCTGCACGATGGACGAGTTGATCATTAATATATCATTAATATAATATTAAATTTATTACATACCTTCCGTTCAATATATTATTAATGGAGTTCATCATTAATAATATATTATGTGTCTATATAGAAGGTGATTTGAGTAACATGTGTATATTTCATAGTTATTGAGAAACATAATTGAATAAAAAAGTAATATTGGTGAAATTTCTAAGCGAAGTCAAGGGCGGCCCTGTATGTTTGAAGACCTAGGAGCGAAAATTTAAAACGGGCCTAATGTTACAAAAAAAAAATGTAGAACCCTTTTCTATCTAAACTGACATGCATAATAATGAGAATATTTCAAGACATTTATAGAAATTTGTAAAATCATATTCTGTCTAAACCAATCATATTATAGTATTGGTGATTCTTATTTAGGAATAAAACAATGGTGATCCTATCTCTACACTTTACTTGTGTTTAAGTCATATTTAAAGAATTAACTCTAATATTATCAACTCCTAAACTTCCCCCTGTAATCATTCAGAATCATTTAATTTTCAGTAGCTAAATTATTATTCTTCTATGAGTTCACATCTTGAAGAGAACATTCAAAATTTGACTTCTTTATGCAAATAAACTCCATTGAATATTTTTACTTAGTGCGGTCAAAGACTCACTATTGTTTGACTTGAAAATATGATGGAAAAAATGAAAATGACTCACTAAATTGTCTGCACTTCTTTGTTATGAAGGTGCAGTCAGTCCAACCGTTTTTCTCAGACGTTTTTAACGATGTGGCTCTCTTGTGATAACGGAATTTAAACACATGAACCACTTTGATAAAGAATGAAACACACGACCCTATTTGATACGGGCTCAACCAAAACTACTTTTTCGTACTTTGCCCTAGAATAATTCAACTCAACACTCCCAAAATTAACCAATTAATAGTCTTAACCAATTATTATCATATCACCGTTAATTAATAGCAAAAAAATACATCTTGTCCAAGCCTAAACTAATTTAGTTACACATTATTACACTATAAGAAATAAAAGTAAAATTCATGTTAGACATAATTAACGTAACAGATTAAAGAAATTAAAATGAGTATTCTATTAAGAACCTGAAGGCATCAATAATGAAGAACATGGATGAGCGACTGAAATCCTTTGATTAATTAAGCTGGAACGACTTTGAACTAGTAATCCCAAATATCACAAGCTGAAATTTCAGAGTAGAAACTACGTACAGACTGATTTTAACAGAAAGTATTCTTTTATTATGTGGCTCCTACTATAAACAAAGTTGAAACAAAAGTTGAAGAAAGAAGGAAGAGGATGATTCCTCTCTGAACTTTATATTTTCGCAGCTCCATCCCAAATGGCCCTTTATATAGCAGAAATCTGAAATGAAGCTGCCCATCAATAATTTCCTATGTGCTATTATTTCTGTTCAATTACCTCAGCTATGTTCTCTTCTCTTTGCCGACTGCTGGATGCGGACGATTTTGATTTTACTCCGCATTTATTTTGTTTCTCTTTCACGGTGCTGTTACTACTGTGGTCTGTGAAGGCTTTATTCATTCATAGTGAGTCAATAGTGAGTAGTGAATTATCTTGTCAGCCACATCGTTAAATCTTATCCCCCACTTCCATATACTCAGAGAAATCATCTCATCAGGCCGGCCTGACGGGCTGCCCCGTCCGGCCGAGCCCGTTTGGGCACCTTCCCGGTGGAATTTTTTGATAAATTTTTTGAGCATGTTCCTCATCAAGTCTAGTTTGTCCATGCCAAATTTCAGCTCAAAATTCGATCGGGAAGGTTGTCAAATGATTTTTGCAAGTTAACTGGTCCGGAAAATACATATTCCGGACCAGTTAACTTGCAAAAATCATTTGACGACCTTCCCGATCGAATTTTGAGCTGAAATTTGGCATGGACAAACTAGACTTGATGAGGAACATGCTCAAAAAACTTCATCGAAAAATTCCACCGGGAAGGTGCCCAAATGGACTCGGCCGGACGGGGCAGCCCGTCAGGCCGGCCTGATGAGAAGAGCTCTCCATATACTCATTCTTATATCCACCTAATATTCGTCATGTTTATGAAAGTTTCTTTTTGTCTGTGTATCAAATATTTTGTTTGTGCAAAATATTGTCTGTGAATCGGAGTTCATAGAAAAAAAACACTTCACAAACATAGGTGGGTACAAAAGTTGATATAAGAGTGAGTACAAAGATCATTTTTGTTAAATGATCACCAGATCCCTGGAATATTTTTATCAATTCAAGACTCGAAAGATAGATTAATTATCAATTCAAGACCTGAAAGATGAAACGTATCAGTATAAGACCCGAATGATGGAAAACTATCAATTTAGGACCTACCATTTCACAGGTTTAGATTTGTTTAATTTTTTATTAATTCCATTACTAATTTTTTTATAAATTTTTCTTCACAAAAGTTTATTAGTTTAATAAAACTAAATAATATTTTAAAATTTTAAAATAAAAAAATAATAAAATTTATGACAACTTAGGTCCTAGATTGATAGTTTTTAATCATTCAGGTCCTAAATTGATAGTTTTTAATAATTCGGGTCCTATATCGATGCATTTGTTCATTCAGGTACCGGATTGATAATTCGTCTATCTTTCGGATCCTGAATTGATAAGTTTCCAATATTTTATTGTCGATAGTCCGACTTGTTTTGAAGTGAATTTAGGATCTCTTGATAAAATATTTTGGAGTTAAAGTATGGTTCTGCTTCACTTTGATAATTTTTCCATCATAAATCGGGATTCGGGAGTAACGTTTATTTCTTTTCGGAAATTAATTTCCGTCCCAAATTGTCTTGAAACTCAAAAATATACCAATACTTAAAGTGTCTAAGATGATAAAAATCAATCCTTTTTATTAAAAAATGAGAAATAAAATATTGAATATGGTTTTTTTTAAATATTACAAAAAAAAGGTCATGGACACAAATATGACTTGATAACTTTAAGTGATTCTAATCTGTTCAAAGTTTCTATCATAATCACTATCCAATAATAACGTTGAATACAATTATAGTCACTAAAGTTTTAAAATACATTTTCATCCACCACTTTCCCAAAAATAATATTAGTGGAATTTGTTCAATAGTATTATAAGTGTGACGAATTAAGATCATAAATATGATGGATTAGAAACACATAATAAAAGCATTGAAAGGTATAGGGTTTTCATTATTTCAAAAATTTTACGATTGTTTGGTATAGTAAAAGTCTATTACGGAGTATAAAAATTGTCAAAAATAATAATTGCCCTCAGGCATGGCAGTCCAACAGGAGGTGAACATCGAGTTTTTTTTTTTTAAAAATTAATGCTAAAAATTAAACTATTTAGAAATATTTACCAAAACGACAAAAATGACAAACCAGTTGGAGACTTTCAAAACGCCGAACTATTTGGCACTCAGCGGTTAGCGGATTATATTAGCAGTTAGTAAATAGCGGATTTCATTAGCGGATTTGACCGGCGGATTAGTTTGGCGGGTTGCAGACGGGGGCGGACCCAGGAAATTGATATTGGGGGGCGATAATTTAAACAAAAAAAATCTAGGCGATTATTATTATAAGTTACTCCCTCCGTCCCCTTTTAAATGTCCCGTTTTACCATATTGGGATGTCCCTATTTAATTGCCCCATACCTTATTTGGTAAACTTTGTGTGGCTCAAAATCATTCTTACTTTATTCTTACTTTATCAATTAATATCAACCACACAAACTCACTTTTCTTAAAACCCGTGCCACCATCTCCCGTCCCATTTAAAAGGGGACGGAGGGAGTATAACCTCAATATAATACGGAGTAGTAATTAAATGAAGCATTATAATAGAAGAAGAGACAAATATATTATTACAAAATAGTTAAAGTTAGTACCTTAGAATTGTACCCAACGCTTCTTCAACGAGATAAATTCCTCAATCACGGCTTTTTAGTCAAAAGTTTTAGCAATTTCTCTTTCAATATAAACAATAAGGTTGTCTGCAACATACTCATCCTCCATTTTATTGCGAAGCCTTGTTTTTATAATTTTCATTACGGAAAAAGTCCTTTCGGTTATTGCTGTAGAAATCGGTATAGTCAACAAAAGTCGGATCAATTTATCAACAAACTAAGAAAGTACACTTTTGACATCTCCGTCTCCGCTAATCTTTGACAAAGTTCACCCATTGTAGAAAAATTCACCAACATTGGATGGTTTAGAACATTGAGCTTATAATGTTGCAATTGAAACCTCAAGCTCACCTTCTCCTTCTCAATAAAATCAAAGGGGTAATATTTATCCACTAAAGAACAAATATCATCAATGTTAAAAGACTTATATGAGTCCTTAGGATCCAAAGCACCACTAAGAGTAAGAAGATCCATTATCTGTTCACCGAATCTGCTATTCAGCTCCAACAATTGTGAATCTATGGCTACGTAAAACATATCAACCCGATAGTGACGTTCAATATCAAACCCTTCTTGATCATGGCGTTTGCGTTTTACCGCATAAGGAGACTTCATATTAGGAACTTCAATTTCATGCTTTGTGCAAAACTCTTTAACAATTTCTAAGAAGTTATCCCATCCACCCTCCCTTAACTTTTGGATCAACATTTTGGTGCTTGACACCAAATGCATAGCATTTACTATGTCTTGGCACTTCTTCTGTATATGCTGACATAGAAGATCTGTAATGCCCATAATTTCTTTAATAAGATGCAACAAGAAAACAAAATCAAAAGATTTAATCTTCTTAAGTTCTGTAGCTGCATTTCCACGAGTAGAATAGTTATTGCCATTCTCTTCAACATCTTCTAAAACAGAACAAGTTGCAGCAAACATCCTAATCAAATTGCAAACAGAACTGAAATGCGAGCTCCAACGAGTTTCCCCAGCTTGTTGTAATGTACCAACCTAATTAAGTCCTCTGCTTGTTTCAAGCTCACCAATTTCCAACATTCTTGCAATTTTCAAGTGCTTGAGTTTCCTTTAATTCATCACTTCATTTGCAAGAAGAATTAGTCACATTAATAATAAAGATTGAATCGATGAAAAAATTGTCCAGATATTTCACCTCTCTAGAAGCGGCAACCAATGCTAATTGCAACTGATGTGCTAAGCAATGAACATAGTAGGCATAAGGACAATCATTTAAAAATAATTGATCTTTCCGTTTCTTTCTTTTAGGTGCGCATGTTTTTCATTAGTTTGGTCAGGGCTATGGGTTGGGATTAGATTTTGGGGTGGGTTAATGGGGAATAAATTTTGGAGTGAGTTGATATAATATTACTTGTAAAATTTCTATTTTTTTAGGCTCTTAAACAATTGGGTTTCTGCGAGTGGGCTATGCTTTGGGGGAGAAAATATTTTTTGGGGGGTTCAAAATTTTTCTTGGAGGGACGAGAATTAAATGTTGGGGGGTAAAAATAAAATTTTTGTATATATATATACTAAAAAAAATTGTTGGGGGGCGGCAGCCCCTGGGTCTGTACTACGGTCCGCCCCTGGTCAACTACTTGCAGAGAAATGTTTGGTAAATTAGCTGTTTAATTGTAGCGATTAGTAGATAAAAAGTTCAAAAAGGACATTATAAAATTTACGCATGTCTTTTTTTAATACAACGTATGATTTTAGGATTATACTAATTTTCAAATTAACTAATTAACTAAATTCGAATATGATAATAAAAACTGAAACTATGTATCATTCGTGTGATATGAGGTCAAGATTTTAAGAATAACGAAGGTTGCAGTCTTGCAGAAGGATAAATAACTTGAAAAGGTGTAAAACTACATAGCTACGTATAAATTAAAAAGGATCAAACTATAAACAACTGAAAAAGGATAAATATCAATTCCTGTATAAATCAAAACAGATCCAACTTATATTGTTCTAGATGAAGGGCTTTTTCAGGTTTATCAGAAAAATCCGGAAGGGCTTTAAAACAGAGAAACAACAGAAAGCAGACCTTCAAGTGACCGCAACAACAGAAAGCGAAGATGAGAGGGCAAAGATGAGAGGGCAACCGGTGGAATTGAATAATTGTTTCAATCCGCCAAAACCTAAACGCTCCGATTTGTAGCGTTTCTGTTTTTGGCGGTTTCAACCCAAACGCCGCTCCTAACCTCCATCCGCCAAACGAAATAAAAACGGAGGTTTGGGTCCTCCAAAACACCTAAGCAGTCAAAAACGCCAATTTTGGGCTCAAACGCCGAAATCCAAACAGCCCCACAAAGACAGCTCACATCAACGTTTAGATGAGATATGCACTTAATAGGGTCCAACTTTTTAAAAATATTTTCTCTGTCCCTTATGATTTTGTCAAATTTCCGTTTTTGGATGTCTCATTAACTTTGTCACTTTTCCTTTTAAGTAACAAATTTGTGGTTCCAGTTAATTCTCTACCCTGTGCACAAATCTCAAACACACAGTTTTTACTTTATTAATCCTCGTGCCGATCAAATTTGGCAAAGTTATTAGAGACGGAGGGAGTGCCTTTTTTTTAAATGTTGCATGGTATAAGTTTTTCATTTTTGCTCCACTTTTTATAAAAATCATATCAAAATTCATAATTTTTAATTATGTTTCATATGACACCAATATTGCAAGTATAAATTTAAAAAAATTCTAAAAGCTTTTTAAACAACTTTTCTTTTTTCCGAACACCGATACAGATTATTCCATATGGAGTATTAAATAAAGAAATAATTCGTTATATATAACAAAAATAATAATGGAAAAATGTGAGTTGTTAACTTTTAATGACTGTAAAAATGTATCCATAGTCAATTAAGTCAAAATATTTGACTTAGTAATATTTTAGAGAAAACCTTTCAAGATGAAGTCTTGAAGCTTAAAAAATCATTTTTAACATTATTTTGGGAAAAGGAAAGAGAATGAGGGTAAATGAAAAAGATGTGAAGTAATTTTCGCACAACACTACTGCTGCAACACGTTTTTCATCCCTGTGATTCCGTTCACCATTGGATCGGGCTGAAATTTTGACAGCAAGTTCGTGACTTCCGGTACTTTAATCTGGACGGTTGGATCGGTGAGAAGATGTCTGGATGGGAGAAACCAACCTTGCACAGTAGCAGCGAAAAAATGGTTTTTTCTGATATTCTTGGTTCTCTAAATGATGGTTACCCTAGCGCCGTGAAGTATGGAAACAGCACCATCGCGCCGTGCAGTGTAAACACCAATGCGACCATGTTATCGCGTCCCTAAGCAATTTCTGACCGGTAATTGCCTATATGTTAAGAGGTAATTCTGATTTAGTTCTTCCCGGAGTGCTTTTCCGGTGGTAGTTGGGTCTCCCTCGTAGGTGGGGAAGGATTGTTGTCCCCGCCAGCGGCATCCTGGTCGAGAGGTTTTTCTGTTAGTTACTTCTGCGTTTTTAGCGATGGGATGCGTTACTTGGAACTGCCGAGCAGTGGCGGACCCAGAAATTCGGAGCCATGGGGACCCTACCCTTTTGTATCTCTAATTAATATAAAACTAATAAAAAAATATTAAAGAAACATTTATGCTCATCAAGCCAACTTGAAACAAATATACCTTTTTTGCCGCCAATTAGTTTAGAGGGGAAATCAAGATCCAAAGGTTGAAACGGTTCTTTTTTAAGGTAACTACGATGTACCTCGTCTTGAACATTAGGATGAAAATCAGCAATTTTTATTCTCAATACGAGATCCAAATATTCAAAATCAACATGTTATTGACATAGATTACAAGCCAAGTTAGCTTCACTTTCAGCAATTACTTGATCCAATTCTTCATTTACTAATGACGAATTATTTGAATTAATACATGAACTACTCTCAACACTACGAATTTCTTTAAATTTAGGTACAACACTGAAATATCTTTTCATTCTAAATCATACAATATTGAAAATAACATTTATAAATACATAAATTTATTAATTTAATCTTAATAGTTAATCTAAACATACCGGAAGAGAAACACTGAAAACATGGGCTCGTCTTGGTTTATTTGAAGAGAAATAATAAAAACATGGCTCGTTTGGTTTATTTAATTTAAATCATTTCCCAAAAAAAAAAGGCTGGGGGAGAATCGAACACAGTACCCCACAAAATGGAAAGAGTGAAAGACTCAAATGCGCCCACAATCCCAGTCCGCTATTTCTGTTATTTGGTTTTCTAGTCATGTGTTTGGTATATATACGTTTCCTAATTAATTTTATATAAATATATATAATATATAGGTGGTTTTTTCGAAGTCCACGGGGTCCCGGGACCCCATGGGACCCTTAGTGGGTCCGCCTATGCTGCCGAGGCCTGGGCAACCTTGCCACGGTTCAGGTACTAAAGGATATGTCGACAACTTTCCACCTGTCAATCATATTCTTGATGGAGACGCTTTGTGGAGATGTTCGTATTGCACATGTTTGTAAAACAATAGGTTTTCAGCATAATTTCAGTATGCCCAGTGAAAGGGACTACTTCTTGATTAAGGAGATTCTATCATAGTATGCCCAGCTTCAGGCCAACTAATTAACTTCGACAAATCAAGTGTGCGGTTTAGCACAAATGTAGCCTGGGATGATAGAGATTACTAAAGCAGCATTTTTGACATCCCGGAAGAGCGATGAGAAGGAAAATATTTGGGGATGCCTTCTTTGGTTGGTCGGAATAAGAAAGAAATTTTTGGGTATATAAAAGAAAAAGTTGTCCAACAGATTCAGAGTTGGAATTGTCGTTTTCTATCCAAAGTTGGAAGGGAAGTGTTGCTAAAACGGTGGTTCAAGCCATGCCCGAGTATGCTACGAATGTTTTTTTTGCTCCCAACTGATTTGTGCAGTGAAATTGAAAGAACCATGAATGCTTTTTGGTGGAGGGGTCATGCCTTCAAGGAAAAAGGAATCAAATGCAAAGCTTAGGGTGAGCTTTGTAGCCCGAAACTGAAGGGTGGATTGGGCTTTCGGAAATTACGGGAATTTAATATTGCCATGTTAGGCAAACATGTGTGGCGCATATTGAAAAATCCGGATTCTTTGGTTGCAAAAAGAAAAAATTCCACTTTTGGTCCTCCGAGTTATGCACCAATTCCACATTTAGTCCTCATCTTTCACTTTATCCATTTTTTGGTACCTGACTATTGTTTTCTTGACCATATATAGTCCTTTTTCAGTAGTAAAAATGTCCAGAGATGGACCGAAAACGGTCGAAAAAACAATAGTCAGGTACCAAATTAAAATGGATAAAGTGAAAGATGAGGACTAAATGTGGAATTGGTGCAAAACTCGGAGGACCAAAAGTGGAATTTCTTCGTTGCAAAAATGTTAAAAGCCAAATATTGTTAATCATGATAATATTCTTGAAGCAAAGTGTGTAAGTTACCCTTCCCTCATTTGGCGTAGCATTGTGGCAGTTATACCGACTATCAAAAGGGGTTATGTTTTCGTATCGGAAGCGGTGGATCAGTGCAGGTTTGGAAAGACAATTGGCTTATTACCTCTGAAGGAGGCCGTCCAACTAGAAATGTTGTACCGGGGCTTGAAGACATCTGTGTTGAGTCTTTAATGACGACAGAGGGAACCGATTGGGATTTTGATATTTCGGCGAATTTATAATCAGGGGGTTAGAGACCTAATCGCTAGCATACCTATTGACGTGCACTTTGTCGTGAGTGCACTCAAAGTAATATTCAAGACAACACTTATACGTAGTATAGCGTAGTAGAGTTCGTATCCACAGGGAAAGGAATAACTTTCTTTTTATATAAATAGTAAGTAAAAGGGGGGGGGGTTTGATTGTTGAGTGATTTAATTAAATTAAACACGAAGATGAACGATTTATATGGGATTTAATTCAAAGATAAAAGGGACTTTCTTGCTACTTTCCACTTGTTGATATACTTTTAGTCGATCATTGTTATATCCATAACTTATCCCCTCTCGAATACTCAATCGCGGAGTATAACCAGTTCATCGAGGGTAGTTATTAACAACGACCGTTCATTAATAACCCTTACTATTAATCAAATATAGAACAACGCCATATACCGATATAATAGTAGCATTCAATCTATTTAACTCCTTGATGAAATCAATTGAGATTGATAACCTCAACGCAACGGTTTTGGTTTAACCAACAAAATTGATCCCTCTTAAGTTTATTAACCACGACCGTGCATTAACAAACCGAAGTTACTTACTTGTGAAACCTTCAACGTTTAACCATCGGTTCATTGAACGTTTCTAGTAATAATCAATGTTGGAACGTTAACTAATCGTCACTTAGCCACCCTCCAACAATGATATAGAATGAGATTAAGAGAAGAATTAATAATCAAGAGGAGAAAGTAAGAAAATAACTCACAACTTTAATAATCAATCAAGCTTCAAGAGCAAAACCAAGAAATGAAAGTTTAGCTCCTCATTTGGAGACTAAACATGCTAAAAGAAATATAGAGAAATACTATTCTAAACTGAGCTTAAGAGTATATGGGAATCGGTATCTAAAAGTGAAGGAAAGGGGGTGTATTTATAGGCTTTTTGAGGTGCAGGATCGAGTACTCGATCGAGTATGTATACATACTCGATCGAGTATGTATAGAAATCAGAATTTGGTCAATACTCGATCAATACTCGAGTAGATTTTATATGCATACCCGATCGAGTATATAAGCATACCCGATCGGGTATAGACACTCGAACGTGGGAAAATCTTCTCCTGCATGTTCCTTTGTTTTCGGATCCGATCCGATTTGAAATGTCAACCAGATACCCGATCGAGTATATGTATATACTCGATCGAGTATAGACCAGAATCAGGATTTTTCCTTCTTTTTGTCTTGTACTCTTGCACCTTCCTTCACCATTGATCATTTGATTGATCTTGGACCTGTTTAAGCTCAGAATAAACCTAATCTAAACAAATTACAAGAATTTAACAAACTAAACTATTACACCGAAAGTGTGTAATTTCCGAAATATTAAACAATCAAAACTAACTAAAAGCGTAAATAAACATACGGAAATTACAAACGTATCAACTCCCCCACACTTAGTTCTTTACTCGTCCTCGAGTAAAGTCAAATGTTCAAACAGTTTAAGACCATTCCATGAGTTCAAGAAAGAATTGAACTAAGATCACCAAGAAATAAGAAAATGATTTTTACAAACAACTTTCTTTCTTGGGTTTTATGATCTTCTATGCTCCATCTTCTTGCCTCTTCTTCTTTGCCTTCTCTTCTTTTCTCCTCAAGAGATCAAATGAGTTCCTGCACACAACAAATATTTCTCTCATATCTCTCATTTTGCCTAGGAGCCTTTTCAGGTTTTCATCCTAGCATCTCTTTTTGTTTTTCCATCCTTACTAACTCACTCATTTCATTTTTTTTTATAAGCCATTTTTTTTGCTTAGATTGCCCATTTTTGGGTTTTCAACCTAACTAGCATTTCAATTCTTTTATCCATTTTTCTCTTCTTCTTCTTTTTTTTTTGTTTACAAAGGGTAAAAGAGATTCATGCATAGTAAAAGGTAGAAAATGAAATTACATACCATGAGTAATCTCCTCCCCCACACTTAGTTGAAGCACTGTCCATAGTGCCCGCCTTCTCCGCCGTAGAAGCCGCCTCCAAAGCCGCTTCCAAAGCCTCCTCCAAAGCTCCCATCGCCCATGTGGGTGTCGCCGCCATCATCCCCTCCATCAAAACCTCCACCCCCGGAGCTAGATCCTCCAAAATTACCCCATTGAGTGGGGTCATACCAAGAGGGGGGTGGTGGTGGTTGAGCCATGGTGTGGAATTGGCCTTGATGAGCCATGTAAGAGTACATCGGTCCATAGAACCTACGTTGATCCTCTTCATACCGTCGGTTGTCTTCGGCCCTTTGCTCTTCTATTCTTTGAAATCCTGCCCTTTGTTCCTCCCGATACTTACCAACTTCGTTGGTAACTTTGTTGAGTCCTTCAAGCATTTGTTGGAAGTAATCGGGAGGTGGGGGGGGTTGGTTTGGTGCGGGTAGGTAGTGATGTGCAACCTCGGGTTCTTGGTACTCGGGTTGAGGTTCCTGGTCGGGTTGGTCTTCTGGGAGATTTTGGGCTTGTGGTTCTTGGAGATGTGGTGGAAGGGCATGAGGGAATAGGAAATGGGGCACCTCGAACTCCGGTCTATAGGTTATTTTGGGGAGGTCTCTGTTTGGCATTAGAAAGTATTGGACCGGTTTGGTGTGTATGATCCAATTATACATGTTCTTCTGTTGATCCCCATCATAGACCGTATGGGAGAAAGCGGTGCACCCCGAGCGGCCTAGCCAACCTATGTCCATCAAACAATAGTCGGGTATCGGAGAGTTATCCGTATACCCGAACTTGCTTGCCAAGTGCATGATTACTCCACCCATTACAATGGCTCCTTTTGCCACGCTTTCCTTTTTGAGGTGTGCCCAAATGAGATTGCACAAATTGAAGTCCACATGACGACGAAATAAAGCTACGGAGATCAAACACACATCCCCTATTCTAGTGTGGTGATTGTTGGGTCGCCCAAGCAAGCAATTTGCCAAGAATTTTAAAAACAACCGGAGGATGGGGTGTTGGACATGACTTATATACATTTGGGAGGAGCTAAAGTCCACTTCCCCAGTCATCTTGGTCCATAGAGAATGCCCAAAAATGGTGTTATCGGAGATGGACCTTTCGTAGGGGACGGGGATGCCAAAATGTTCGGAAAACTCGAGTTTCGTTATCGAATAGTTTCGGTTAAACAGACGAAACTCGAGTCTATCATCCCTAAAATCCGCCTCATCACTTTCAAAGTGCACTGAACTCATGAATTCATAAATAATCTTTTCATTTGAGTTGTATCTCATATTGAAAACAAGGTCCATGTCCAATTGATGAAAGAATTTCCTCATAATCTTATACACTCCTAATTCACGTAGTGCATCATGGCATAGAAAACGGGAAGGTTTTACTTGCCTTTTTTGTTGTCGATAGGAGGCGAGTTCGGTGTTCGGCGTTGGCGGGAATGATGTCTTCAAAGCCTGGGATAGGTGCTATGGTGCTTGAGCTCTCTCCCCTATTCTTCCTTGGTGCCATATTTTTGAGCTTAAAGAGGCAAAAATTCGAATGGGGTAGGGGTTTTTTGGGATTTGGTGGAAGTTTGGGGGAAATGGGATTTTTGGGTATAGATATGGAGAGGAGAGTGAAGGGAGTATTTTGGTGGTGAAATGAGATGATTTGGTGAAGAAATGAGGGAGATATGGTAGAGAGAAGATGGAAAAATGGAGATTGGGGGGGAATGTGTTCGAAGTTGGGTGTTTATTTGGAGAAGATGAAGTGAAAATGGGTGTTTTGGGGTATAAATCGCAGGGGTACCCGATCGAGTATCCCTGTATACCCGATCGGGTACCGGAGGCAGGGGCTTACAGAAGTTGTTTTTCCTCTTATACTCGACCGAGTATTGATATGTACTCGATCGGGCATAGGAGGCAGGGGTTTATTGCTTTTATTTTTCCGCTTATACTCGATCGAGTATAGATATGCACTCGATCGGGCCTCGGAGGCAGGCTTCCGATGGAGTTGATTTTCCAGGCATACTCGACCGGGTATGTTCCAATACTCGATCGAGTATGCCTGTATCTTTGAAAATTGATCTGTACCTCGATCGAGTATGGAAACCGGGTCCCCTTTTTTACCCATACCCGACCGAGTATTGTAGAATACTCGATCGGGCATGTCCCCAGATACATTTTTTTTTTCACCATTTTTTTTTCTTTTTTCTTTTTTCTTTTTTTTTTTTAATTTTTTATTTTTTTTTTGAAACGCACACATAATGAAATAAGTTTAAAAGAAAACATACCTTGCTTGGGTTGCCTCCCAAGAAGCGCTTTGTTTAACGTCGTGGCTCGACGATATCTTCGTTTCTCCTTCATTCATAGACCGGTTCAGAAAGGTCTATGATCTCCACGTTCTTGGGTTGAAAACCCTCAAAGAAGGGTTTTAGTCTTTGTCCGTTCACTTTGAGCACTTCTCCCGTCTCCGGGTCTTCAATTTCCACCGCCCCGTGTGGATAGATTTTGACCACTTTGTATGGTCCGGCCCAACGGGATCTCAACTTTCCCGGAAATAGACGAAGGCGTGATTGGAATAGGAGGACTTTGTCATCAAGTTTGAAATCCTTCCTTATGATCATTTTATCATGCCACTCCTTCGTCTTTCTTTTGTAAATCTCCGCATTGTCATAAGAATCCAGGCGGAGTTCTTCCAATTCTTGTAATTGGAGCTTCCTGTGTATACCGGCCTCGTCAAGATTGAGGTTGAATTCTTTTACTGCCCAATATGACTTGTGTTCAAGCTCTACGGGAAGGTGACAAGCTTTTCCGAACACAAGTCTATAAGGTGACATACCGATTGGGGTTTTGTAGGCGGTTCGGTATGCCCAAAGTGCATCATCAATGCGAATACTCCAATCCTTCCTGTTTGGATTCACTGTTTTCTGGAGTATAGATTTTAACTCCCTATTTGAGGTCTCCGCTTGGCCATTAGTTTGAGGGTGGTAAGCAGTGGAGATCTTGTGAGTCACACCATATTTCTTCAGTAGGGATCCCACAATTTTATTACAAAAATGTGTGCCTCGGTCGCTTATTAAAATTCGAGGGACCCCGAACCTTGAAAATATGTGAGACTTGAGAAAGTTTGCTACCACCTTGGCATCATCGGTTTTTGTTGCTTTTGCCTCCACCCATTTGGAGACGTAATCTACCGCAAGTAGGATGTAGATGTTACCTTGAGAGTTTGGAAAAGGCCCCATGAAGTCGATACCCCATGCAT